ACGAACAGCTGCTGTCTTCTGCGATAGTCAGAATTCAACTAAATCCTGACCTGCCCTGACTAAACCGATAACGCCGCTACATTGACAGATGTTACCCGCTCATAATGGAATTTTTAGGTTAGCCACCGTTTCGCGCGCATTTTGAGAGTCAACCTTCTGGTTGATTTCTATTTTGTGACATAATTATAGATATTGTGATATGTTTCTCTATTTGCTTCAATATTCTGTTGCAATAATACAAATAATACTATTATAGTTATTTGACTAAAATGAGAAATTTATTTCGTTGAAACTTATTTAGTCTTTTTAAATTAATTGTAGTTTTTGTAGAAAGAAATATGATGAAACCGTTTCTGTTTGGTTTGGTTTGGTTTGGTAATAATTTTTAATAATTGCTAATAACTATTTAGTCAACATGTTTAGTTTTTGTCAATAATGACATGTATTGATAATTTCGATTCCAAATATCTCGAGAACCATTACTCGTAGAGATTTTTACCAAGAGATATTTTATAACTCAGTAGTTTTATACAGGTCCGGACGAAAAGTTACTTTTCAAAACAGTTAAAAAATATGTAGGTGGCGCCCCTTATAAGTAGGAGTCATATTGACATTGAATCACATTTCTTATATCAAAAAACTTCCAGACACCAATTTTCATACTACTACTACCGCCATTACTCGCTGACGAGTATTTGACCATTTTCTGATGCGTGGAAAATGGTCACGCAAGGGGTTTTCTTTCATGGGCTTTTCTGTGACTGAAAAGCCCGATACGTGATGTTATTTGTCTACCGCACTCCAGACATTCAAAAATCTCATTGCTTTGTTGCCTCTTTACTTTTTGGTTGTCGCTCTTAACTGACTTTACAATTCTTCTCCATTCCGTTCTATTGTGAGCTGCCTCTTCCCACTCATTCTGCTTGTTAATTCCCTTTAAGTTTTCGTGGAAAATATCCTTTAACCTTTTGAGTTGTCCACCCGGCCTCCTCTTACCGTCTACAAGCTCACCGTAAAGCAGAGATTTTGGTATGCGGTTTTCTTGCATTCTTCATACGTGACCAGCCCATCTTAAGCGGGACTTTGTAACATGACTTCAATACTCTCGCAGTTAGCCCTTTCAAGGACCGATACGTTTGAGACGTGATGAAACCATTTTATTCTTAAGAGTTGCCTAAGATGTCTCTGTTGCAACTTGTTTAATGCGTTCATGTGTCGGCGGTACGGCACCCAGGTTTCGCTTCCATATAACATGGTGGGAATTATTATCGCTCGGTACACCGCAAGTTTCGTTTTTGTGCTCAAGTCATGATTGTAGAAAACCCTGTCTTTTAATTTCCAGAATGCTCTTGAGGCGCTGCAAATCCTGTGCTGAATTTCAGAGTCGATATTGGCCTTTTCCGAAATCAAACTGCCGAGGTAATTGAATTCCGCTACATATTTCAACAGTTCATCTCCGATTTTTATAGCATTGTTGTGATCTTCCGGGGGAGTGCACATGATTTTAGTCTTATTGATGTTCAGCTTAAGTCCCAAGGCCTCGTATGCCCATGTATATGTGTTCAACATTTCTTGCAATTGATGTAACGTATTTGCAACTAGAGCACAGCGTATTGAAGTTCTGTGATGAATTTTGTACGTGTTTTTGCCCTGAGTCTTTTTATGTTGAACAGACCGCCGTCATATCGGTATCTAATGCCCAAACCTCTCTCCTGCAGTTTGCTGTCCACTATAATGGAGAGCGCTGCCATGAATATATTGAATAGGAGAGGCGCTAAGACACATCCCTGCCTAACGCCTGTGTTTGTTAGGAAGGGATCGCTCAGTGATCCATGATATGACACTCTTGATTTGTTGTTGTTATGGAGGCTTTTTACACTGTAAGAAATTTGATGGGTACTCCGAACTTTTTCATAATTGCCCAAAGTGCATCTCTGTTCACAGAGTCGAAGGCTTTGTTAGATCGATGAATGCAACGTAAAGTTTAGACTGCTGCTCTTTTACTTTTCCTCTAGTTGCCGGATGGAGAATATGGAATCGACGGTACCGCGGTTGGTGCGAAAACCCGTTGCGATTCTGGGAGAATTTTTTCTATATGTGGGTGCAGGCGGTTTGACATAATTTTTGCAAGAATTTTTCCTCCGATAGCCAGTAGTGAAATTCCTCGGTAGTTTCCGCAGTCTGATGCACTTCCTTTGTTCTTAAATATATTCACTATATTCGTGTTGCAAAAGTCCTGAGGTACCTCTCCGCTTTCCCATATGACATCAAAGAGAGCCTTAAGATGACCAATAAGTTCTTTACTTGCACACTTATAGATTTCCGCCGGAATCGCGTCACAGCCAGCTGATTAGTTGTTTTTAAGCTGTTTTATGGAGTCCTTCATTTCCTGTTCTGTTATTGGAATGTCTAATACATCGAGGCTGTTATACTGAGGTATTATGTTGAGTGCTTCCATATTGGGGTTGTTTTCTTGGTTAAGGATATGGCTGTAATGCTCTTTCCAGCGGTTTCTGATTTGTTCTTCCTCTTTTAGAAGTTCACCATTTTGTGCCATGATTGGGCATCTTGCCTTCTTAGTTGGACCGTATACTTCTTTTACAGCCTCGAAGAATTTACGATAGTCGTAATGCGTGGCATACTCCTGAATCTGACTAGCTTTTTGCGACCACCAGTTATCCTTTAGTTGGCGCAGGTTTCTTCGGAGCGTGTTGTTGGCTGCCTTAAAGTTGTCTGCTAGTCTTGGATTGTGTGGATTTGCAGTAACGGCTTGATGTGCTCTATGCTTTTGTTCCAACAAAGCCTGTATGTGCGGTTGATTTTCGTTAAACCAGTCTGGTTTTTTCTTTTTGTTGGATTTTCCCAGTACTGCTTCGCTGGTTTTGTGAATCGCATCTCTTAGTTGTGTCCAGCCATGTTCAGCATCCACGATTGAGATTGAAGTTATCGGTGGAAGTGATTCTTTGATGGCTTTCCGGAGGGCGTCGGCGGTATCGTTGTTCTCTAGACCCCGTACGTTCAATCTGGTCATGTAGCTTTGCTTTTTACAGTGTGATGTTTGGGTTTTAACTGGATTTTCATTTTTGAGATTAAAAGTCGGTGGTCAGTGCCGCATTCGGCATCTACTCTGGCTTTTGTGAGACTGACATCTTTTAGGTGCGTCCTTCGAACGATTACGTGGTCCAATTGGTGCCAATGGCCTGATCTCGGATGTTTCCAGGTGCCTTTAAATTTGTCCTTCAGCATGAACCACGTATTGGTGATGAAAGATTATACTCTGTGCATGTTGTTAATAAGCGTTCACCATTGCTATTTACATTTCCCATTCCATGTTTTCCCAATACGTCAGGCCATATTTCCTGTTGTTTGCCGACACGGGCATTAAAGTCACCTAGCAAAATGATTCGTTCGTGCTTTGGAATTTGTTGGAGTATATTTTGCAGAGCTTTGTAAAATTTATCCTTATCCTGAATTTTAGCGTCTAGGGTAGGAGCGTAGGCACTTATGATGTTGACGTAAGTTTTGTCTGATATGGGGTACCTTAGGGTCATAAGACGTTCGGAAACACCAATAGGTACCTCTGTTAATTTGGTGGCGATTTCGTTTTTGATTGCTATGCCTACGCCATGAATTCTCCTGTGTGTTGCCGGGTGACCATTCCAAAAGAAGGTGTAATGCTCCTCAGTGAGACTACCTTCATCCGCAAAGCGGGTTTCGCTAAGAGCGGCAACATCTATATTTAGTCGGTGGAGTTCCTGTGAGACCAGTGCTGTTCTTCTCTCTGGTCGATTGGAGTTTGTCCTGTCCAGTAGAGTGCGGACGTTCCACGCCGCAAACGTGAAACATTGACGATGTTTAATTCTCCGATGATACGCTCAGTAGGCACCCCCCTCCGGGAGATCCGATCGAGGGGGTATTTTACCTCCGGACGATGATTTTGTCCTACTCGAATGTTCCATCTTTGATGAGTGTAAGCTGCGTAAAAAGGTTAAACTGTGACGGTTACGCTGCCGCACAGTTTGGCTGCAACTGTAGCACGGGATGGCTATGGCACAGTGAGGACTGCGACGATAGTTCCCTTGTGCTACGTTCTCGGCCGGCTAGGAGTAGTTTACTACTCCTCTTCCCCAGAAAGGTGGTAAGTCTGAGGGTTGTATAATGATATACCGCCTACCGCCTATACTCGGTCGTCGGAGCCTCGTTTGTTTAAACAGGGTGCACCACGTGAAGGTGAGGTTGACTTTTGGGTAAGCTAGGCTATATGTATCGCTTCAATACCCCTTGCACCCCAATTTTCATACAAATATCGACGTTAGTTCAGTAATTATTTAGAAAAAATCGAAATAAAAATGAAACTTCTACACCCTGTATCTCAGAAAGGAAGCATTTTAGAACATACATTTATACGAACTTTGTTACTACTCTTTATCTGCCGAATATTACAATTCGGGCTACCCTGTATATTCTGAAAATATTTGAAAAGTAACCATGATTTAAAAAATAATTATCTACTCAACATGTTTATTTTTTGTCAATAGTGGCATGTATTGTTATTTCCATTCTAAATATCTTGGGAACGGTTCTTCGTAGCGATTTTTACCAAGAGATATTTTTTACGTAAAAAATCACGGAAATGTATATTTTTTCATCCAATAGTTTTATACAGGTACGGTTGAAAAGTTATTACTCTTCAAAATAGTTAAAACACATGTAGGTGGCGTCCACTACAAACAGGAGTCATATTGGCATTAAAATGAAATTTCTCATGTCAAAAAACTCCCAGACACCAATTTTCATCTAAATATTGATGTTACTTTATATTTGTTAAAATAGTTGTATTTGGAAAAAACCTCGGAAAGAACAGAAATAAAAATGAAGCTTCTACACCCTGTATCTCCGATATTGAGCATTTTAGGATATACATTTATACGAACTTTTTTGATTCGGAATACAGTTCGTACCACCCTGTGTATCTGTTTTTAAAATTTTTAAATTTTTAGGCTGACGAAGAAAGTGAAAAGTCGGTTGCTCCATCTCCTTTGGCACTGCTAGCTGCCACTTGCAGTCGCATTGGTCCCGGCGAAGTTCAAATGCAAAATCAAGTACAGACATCCTCGCCTATTCCCGTTAATATGTCTACTACACCGACCACATCTCCTCAAATTAAACAAGGAGTTACTGTTCAACAATCTCAAGCGCAACCCCAACCACAGGTACATAATTTAGACATTATTATTCTCTTGATACCAGGGTTCTCTTTTATATTTTTTGCGTATAGAAACATAGTAGGAGCATGTCAACATAATACGTATATTAATTTCAAAATTAACTGTTATCTTTAGCTAACTCAACGCCAGAGTTTTGACCACTTTGTTTAAAGCTGTACCCTAGGCTGAATTTTTGAGGTTAATCGAAAAATGTCTCTACCATTTTTTGTGCGCAACGCATTCACCATTTTACCCATCTGCTTTTCGACCAAATATTGAAACTCAAATTTTGCAAATGTTTCATCCTTTGTTTTTAAGAAATACACAAAGGACATGCGACTGAAGTCATCGTGCTTGGTTAAAACATATTTGGAGCCTCCAATAGATGCTGTTCCCATTGGTCCTGCCAAATCACGCTGAATTACATCTAAATTTCCTGTTGCTCTAGTGCCTTGATGGTCAAAGGGTTGTCTGGACTGTTTTCCCTCACTACAAACTATACAGTCTTAAGTGTTAATTTTCACATCTTCGAAATAGTTTACGCCATTTACTAAGCCATTCCTCATTTTATTTATATAGGTAGAACTAATATGTCCTAGCCTCTTGTGCCATATTTCACCAGTTACTGATTGTCCAACAAAATTAGCCTTTTCTGAAGTGTTAATTTTCTATACACCATTCGTCAAAAAAACTTTTATTACTAGAACTTTTTCACTCTTATAAATGTTGCAACAATCTTGCTCAGACAACAGAATTGTCCTTCTGCGGCAATTGACTAACTGACATTAGGTTTGTGTTTAAACCAGGAACATACTGAGCGTTTTTAATCTCTATTTCAAAAGTTTCTTCATGGACTTATGACATCGACAAAGGCATCAACTTTCTTCATCGATTTAGCAACCAGTCTTGTTTACATATTATATGAATTTAATGCCCCTGAATCTAAATACCATTCGTTATTTTTATATTCTGTACTCAAGAAAACAACATTAAAGACGTTTTTTGGCTGGAATGGCTGTCCTTATTTTGCTTTTGGTTTCCTTGCGGGCATTTAGACCTAAAATGACCAGTTTTCTTACATTTGTAGCAGCTACCTCACTTATGTCCCTTTTCATAAATGTACTTGCAGTTTCACTACTTTCTGGACCTGGACGACGTCCTTTTTTTGTTTCCGTTCTGAGACATTTGACGTTGACGTTGACTCCCACGTAGTCATGGGTAACACTCTAATTTTTCGTGTGTTGATACAGTAATACTGACACCTTTTCCGGTATCAACACAGAGTATCAGCACGATTGTGTCATATGGCACAGTAGTGTATCAGCGTTATTTCAGTTAAACAAACACAGGGTTTCTCCCGCTCACTGTCGAGAGGCCCGACGGCTGACGCGGTACTCCATGTTGCCAAATGATGAAAAAATACAAAAATACTTTGAAATACAAGAAAAATTAAACACACTTTTTTGATAATCTAAGGGTAGTTTCGTATACAATATTATCTAATATGAAAAAGAAAGAAATAGTGAGGGAAATGTATAAAAAAGAAGAAAAAATATTAAACGGCTCAGCCCTCAACAACTCGTAACCGTATACACCAGTGTACACCAGTGCAGACACGCACACTCACACAACCACACCTACACTAGTGCACACTGATGTAACTGCCTTCAGGCTTCATCGGTACGGTAAGGAATCAGGAAGCGAAGAAACCGATCCCAAAACACAAAAAAACCAGGAAGCAAACGATGCAACGAGGCACCGTGTGCAACCCAGGAGATGGAAAAAAAATTGATGAAGAAACGAAAATAAAAGGAGCAAACGGGAGCCTAAATCCCCAATTTGCAGCCAAGAACCAGAGTCGCCCAGGATTGTGGGCTTCGTCCAGAACAGCGGCGGAGGTAGCCAACAGCAATCCGCCGCAATACTCTTAGCCATGGTACCAATATGAAAAAGAAAGAAATAGTGAGGGAAATGTATAAAAAAGAAGAAAAAATATTAAACGGCTCAGCCCTCAACAACTCGTAACCGTATACACCAGTGTACACCAGAGCAGACACGCACACTCAAACTCACACAACCACACCTACACTAGTGCACACTGATGTAACTGCCTTCAGGCTTCATCGGTACGGTAAGGAATCAGGAAGCGAAGAAACCGATCCCAAAACACAAAAAAACCAGGAAGCAAACGATGCAACGAGGCACCGTGTGCAACCCAGGAGATGGAAAAAAATTGATGAAGAAACGAAAATAAAAGGAGCAAACGGGAGCCTAAATCCCCAATTTGCAGCCAAGAACCAGAGTCGCCCAGGATTGTGGGCTTCGTCCAGAACAGCGGCGGAGGTAGCCAACAGCAATCCGCCGCAATACTCTTAGCCGTGGTACCAATATGAAAAAGAAAGAAATAGTGAGGGAAATGTATAAAAAAGAAGAAAAAATATTAAACGGCTCAGCCCTCAACAACTCGTAACCGTATACACGTTTTTTTTCTTCTTTTTTTATACATTTCCCTCACTATTTCTTTCTTTTTCATATTGGTACCACGGCTAAGGGTATTGCGGCGGGTTGCTGTTGGCTACCTCCGCGGCTGTTCTGGACAAAGCCCACAATCCTGGGCGACTCTGGTTCTTGGCTGCAAATTGGGGCTTTAGGCTCCCGTTTGCTCCTTTTATTTTCGTTTCTTCATCAATTTTTTTTCCATCTCCTGGGTTGCACACGGTGCCTCGTTGCATCGTTTGCTTCCTGGTTTTTTTGTGTTTTGGGATCGGTTTCTTCGCTTCCTGATTCCTTACCGTACCGATGAAGCCTGAAGGCAGTTACATCAGTGTGCACTAGTGTAGGTGTGGTTGTGTGAGTTTGAGTGTGCGTGTCTGCTCTGGTGTACTTATTATATAATATAGCATCTTGAAGAGCTAAAGTAGTCTTTTAAATTAGAAAATTAGAGCACACATACTCAGTAAAAGGATGATGGCAACATTGGTTTGCAAAGGTTGTTGTTACGCAAAATCGGAGATCGGTAATTCCCATAGCACTAAGCACACCACGTTTTTTGTTTAGTTTACAGTATTCGTATGCATAACCGATTAGCCTCTTGAATTTTTTCCCATAATTATTGTACCTACTAACATTAGCATTGACAACAACGCACCGCGACGATGTGTTGCCTAAACAAAATCGGAACTGAAAGGCATTAAATCGAATCCATATTGTAAGAAAACCACTCTTTTATCAATAAAATATTTATCAATAAAATATATAAAGTATATTTGGTTTGTTTTTGTTGCTGCCATTGACTTTGACAGGACCATACGTAATTTAAGTTCATAATAAACATGGTTTTAGGTTTTAGTTCTAAATTAATCTTACTGTACAGGTTGTAAGTTTTCCGGTGGCTGCCGGTGTAACTGCTCAGCAACTGCAACAGCAGCTACTTCAACAACAAGCTGGAGCTGCACAAATCGTGGCCGCTGCCGCAGCAGCTGGTCAGAATCTGTCCGGTTACAGCGTTGTTCAGGCACCAGCTGGAGTACAAGCACTTAGCGTTGATGGACAGGAAGCCATCTTTATACCAGCAATGAGCTTAGCAGGTACGTTAATATAGGGGGTATTTTGCATATCCCATTTTATTAAAATTTGAATTTTTGATATAAGTTACTATTATTTTTTTCTAAATTTCGGAGAAACTGTAAGGACTAAAAAAAAGTTTAAAAAAAAGTTGTATAGCGTCCAATTTTTCCATAAAAATTGTTTCTATAATTTTTTGGCTCAAATCAAAATTAACCGAGATAGGGTGGCTAGAAGTTAGAGGACAGCTTTTATTGAAACATTCATTTTTACCCATTCTCGAGGTGAATTTAAAATAATCATTGAAAATTAAATATATCTTAATTGATATTTATAATTTTCCACAAAAATGGAATAAAAATGTTAAATACAGGGTGTCCCGAAAATGATTGTAATGTCAAAAAAGTGAATTCAAATAAATAAGACAAGTGATAGTAATGAGTAAGTTTATTTATAATGAAATTATTTACATAAAAAAACTTCTAATAATTAGATTACAAAAGGTGTTCAAAATGTCCCCCATTTGCTCTAATACACAATCTGTATCGACGTATAAAATTTCGTTTTATGCGCCTTGAAGCGGAAATATTGATACGAATTTGCTGTGCCACTGCTCCTATTCTTTCACGAAGTTCATCTTCGTTATGGATTACATGCGAATAAACCTGTTCCTTGAAGTATCCCCACAAAAAAAATCCAATGGATTTAAGTCCGGTGAACGTGGTGGCTATCTTATTGTTCCTCCTCGCCCTGTCCACCTGTTGGGAAATGTTTGGTCAAGAAACTGTCTCACATTGCGAGCAAAATGAGGGGAAGCCCCGTCAAGCTGAAACCACATACTCGCATGTATAGCAATCGGAATATCCTCCAGTCTTCTTGGTATTTCAAAGCGGTCTATCAAAGTGCCGTTAAGTATTCCAGCCCATAAATTAATACAAAACTGATGTTGAAATCGATCAGCTCTAATCGCTTTTGGATTCTCCATTATCCAGTAATGTAGATTATTAATGTTAAAAATTCCAATTCGGCTAAAACTGCATTCATCTGTCAATAAAATGTGTTGGAAAAAATTATAATCGTTTCAGGTTCGCTGCAACATTTCTCTACAAAATCGTACTCTTAATGGGTAGTCTGCAGGTAATAAGGTTTCCACTCGTTGAAAATGGAAAGGATGCATTATTTGATATTGTCTTAATATGCAATGGATTGTTGATCTTGGTATTCCCATAGTTTCTGCCATGCCACGAATACCTCTTGAAGGATCTGCTTCTACTTGATTTAACACGGCTTCCACATCATCGTCATATTGCCTTGGCCTTCCTATACGTTCTGTTGGGACTCCAGGTAACCTTCCAGCAACATATGCATTATGTACCGGAATAAAAATACGATAATCGGAATAGTGTTGTCGGTTCGGGTAACGTTGACGATAAAGTCTTGCAGCACGTCGAGCACGTCCATTACAAAATCCATAAACAAAATGCATATTCTTGCGAGGTAAAAAGCATTTTGTTAATCTTGTCAAAACTGAACACTTGTCAATACACGACTAAAATACACTCTTAAGGTAAGCGCGCATTTGCTCGCACCGGACGCAACGGACGCATCGGACGAATCGCAATATATTTGTTATCATCGCATATTATATTCGGATTTTCTTCCCGCATTTTCATTTTAGTGCAATCCTCGAAGCGGGCTAATACGAATCTTCTGTTTTTCACGTTCGCTTTCCAAATTTAAAATGAGTATTATTTCTGATGAAGAATTATTATTTGCAATTGCATGTGGCATTTGAAGAGGAAGAGCAAAGGAGCAAGAAAAAAAAACGAATTTGCGTCCATAATGTAAATATGAACCGTATTTTTAAAAAGATGTTAAACTGATTTTTCTGCTGTTTAAATATACCTATATGTTAAAGATTTATTCTATTATATTGCGTCTACGTACCTGGTTGTTGCATTATCTGCCCAATTTCCTCACATATATTTTGGCATCCTTGATGATTACTGTACTCTTTGTTTTTCAAATTATAAAGTTCATTTTATTGTTGCACTAAAGAAATTAATAGTCCGTCATCCATTTTCACTCTTTTAGGCACTTGCTCAAAATAACGTTAAAAACAAATCAAATTCTGCAAGTCGATTCCTGTTTACATCGCGCATTTCATCGAATTTGCGAATGATGTAATCAGCACGCATCGTATATACGGATTTAATTCTTTTCTAATAATTCTGAACGGATTTCCGTGTCTACGATGCGTCCGATACGTATGTATGTGCGTTGTCTCATTTAAAATAAGGCAAATAATAATTTTCGTCCGTTCCGTGTGTCCGATACGTCCGTCCGATGCGAATAAATGCGCGCTTACCTTTGAAGGCAATGGAATTTTGGTAAAATAAAAACTGTAGGTATTTTCCTCGGTATTTGCAGAATTTTACTAAGCCGATAAACGGATAATTCAATTGGCAGATAAACATTTGACCCATCGAGTTTGAAGAATGTTTAGGCTAAAATGTTGAATTAAAAATTTTCCTGTTCCTTCCAATAAGACACAAATGGCTAAATCAGGAGCAAAAAATATATTTTTAGAAAATTTAACAATTAAATTTGCTTTTTGGAAAAAGTGTTAAATTATTATAAATTATAATAAATCATAAATGGAAAAAAATTTCACCAGCCTTTGTAACCTACTTTTTCTGAGTATTTTCTAATTTGAATAATTTCGTTATAAATCAACTTACTCATTACTATCACATTGTCTTATTTCTCTGATATAAATTAATATTAAATATATTTATTTAAATTCGCTTTTTTGATATTATTATGTTTAATAAATTTCAGCAAAGTTTTTCAATTAAAATCCTAAAAATGTGCTTTAAAAATGACAGTAGCTTGCGTAATCAGCACGTACAATAAAAAATGCGCTGTACAATAAAGAAGCCTTTATAGGGATGCTATTAAAATTTTATTTGAGAAGAAATATCAACAGAAAATTTTTGAAAAAAAAATTGTGAAGAAATGTGAGATTATCATAAAAATTACAAAAATAGCAATAACTCAGAAACGGTAAGGAATCGGATTGTCTATAGGACTTTTTTTGTTTGAAATAACCTCCCCTACCTCCTACTTTGATTTGATCCATCATTTTTGGGCCACCCTGTATATGAGCTTTTCGGTAACATAATATATTTTTTTTTAATTTTCTACTATCATCCCGTAGCTTCTAGCCACCCTATCTCGGTTAATTTTGATCTGAGCAAAAAGAGTATAGAGATTATTTCTATGTAAAATTTGACGCTCCACCAGGGGCGGCTTGTCCTATGAGGCAGATGAGGCAGTGCCTCACCAATACATTTGAAGAACTACACGTATTAATCGATACATCTTTAATCACAATTTTATATTTTTTTCCCTATTTGCATCAATAATAATTGTATTTTTTATCCGTCATTCTACAATAAATTACGTCGATGGTATTCCTTTAAACGCGCTTCCTTTCCCATATGCGACAAACTCGACGATATATATATCCATCTCATTTGTTCTTTAAGAAGTATATGTGCAGAGGTTTGCCTCTCGCCTTTCCTTGTCTAACGTATTGTGGTATATCGCATTGACGGAGCGACAGCGTTCACTGGAATCTTAAATCTATAGAATGAAAAGAAAAAGCATAGGCAAAACCTTTAGTTGAAGAGAGATAAAATGTATGGAGTAGTAACGCGCAAAAAGACCGTATTGAGGCGAGCCTCAAATGTAAATTTAAACCTTAAAAGCCGTTCGTTAAAAATATGTGTCACTTCCCGATCAGCCCGAGAGATTTTAGGCGACAGGCTGAAAATGCAGAATTGCATTATTTGGGAATTTGTATTAGTTTGAATCACAGTTTGAATTAACTCTGCCGGTTATTGCACTGTTTGTCTCTAATTGATTAATATATACGTTTTTTAATGTGAATTGCATGTTTAATTACTCGTCTTACTGATTACAACGTATTAAGTAAATACCTAAAAAGTGGGCAGTGACTTGTTGATTGATATGATGATTTAGAGGGACCATGCATCATCAGAGGACTTCCCCAGGTAAAGTTTTTCGAATTCGAATCATTTCTAGATAAATTGTGTACTCGTATAGTCAAAAAGTAAAGCAACCAACAGAGATTTCATTTTGTTTTATTTTTATAGGATGGGTAGAAAAACAAAATTTTACCATACAGAGTAAAATATAAGACAAAATATCCTGAGGTCGCTTTGATAAAAATTTACTGTTGCAATAGCACTATGTAATAGGTACCGTATGATCGAAAAAAGTCCAGTTGGCTTGAAAATGACGATCGATGACATTTCCTATATAATTTTACATATAAAATGACAGCGATCCTCATTTCATAGCCATCGCTAACGCCGTTTTTATTCGATCATACGGTATAATACTGCGAATTATATTACATAAGGCAACTGCTGAAAATTTAGAAATATTTTAAATACAAAAATGTGCGCTTTTTAAGTCTGTAGGTATCTAAAATACTAAAAATAATATACAGTGTGTATTGCATTTAAAAAAATTGAGATATAGCATTATAATATTGCAATGTTGGTCGTGCCATAAAAAAATCCCTGTATAAAATAATGTAATTTTTTCTCGGATTTCTTCTTTTGTTCTACATACCTCGCTATATACATACTTAAGCAATAATATATCAATAAGTTAAATTCACTCCAGGTTTTTACCACTTTTTAAAAAATGAAAATTTTCAAATATGAATTATCATGGAAATCCCGCATATACAGGGTGTCCCAGAAATAAGTGCAAATATTTTAAGGGGTGGTAGATCTCGATAAAAGAAACATATTTTCTCTTTATCGATTTTCAAATAAATCCAAAATAACGGAGTTATTTTACTTTGAAATTTTCCAAAAAAAAATTTTTGCTAAAATTTTGAGAACCACTAGATCTTTTCTGAATTTTCTTTCTAGTAAATTTAATCTAATACCTATGTTGCCATATTATCAAGAAATTATGTTTTTTAACTAAAAACTAAAAAAAATTCCAAAAAATTTTTCAAAAAATTTCGAATTTTCAAATTTTTTTTTTCGCGAAAAAAACCTCATAGGCGTGTTTCTGGGGTTGAACTATACTATCAGTTAAAATATTTGCACTTATTTCTGGGACACCCTGTATAGTGTTTCAAATAAATCAATAGTGTGATGTATACTGAATTCTATGCTGAACCCAATTCTATACAGAAAAATGGTAATGCGATTGCAATTTTAAAGAAAATATTTTTTTAGGATATGCACTTTTTTTATATAGAACTTTTTTTTCATCTATTTGTCAACTACGAAGATATTATTGGACTTCCTCGTACTAATGGTCACCCTATATACATACTAATAAAAATTCTCTTCTAATGTGCCTCACCATCTTCCAGTGCTACGAGCCGCCCCTGCGCTCCACAACTTTTGCACTTTTTTTTCTAGTTTCCCTGAAATTTCGAAAAAATTATTTTATTTAAATTACTTTTAATAATTTTTTAATTATTTTAATTTATAGGGGGACAACAGCCTCAACAAATATTCAGCCCTAGTCAGATTATACGAGCACCAGCAGGAGTTCTACCCACAGCTGCAAATATCCCCGCCACTGTACAACTTAGCAACGGTCAAAGCGTACAGGTCAGCAGATAACTAAACCTTAAATACGAACTATAAACACATTTAGTAGCCAATCAAATATTCCTTTCTCGGCACTTTTTAGGTTCGACCTGTTCAGCCTCAAGTCTTTCAATTCCCAATGCAACAAACCATACCGATTCAGGTACCGATATCATCAGGAAACGGTCAAACCATCTACCAAACTATACATTTTCCAGTTCAGTTATCGGCTGCTGCTGTTCCCAATATTATCCAGGTACTTGATACTAGTTGAAGTTAATCTAAGAATAATATACAGGATGGTCCGAATTGTACTCGGGAAACTCCGGCAGCATATTCTGCAGATCAAAATAAGTAAAAAAGTTCGTATACATTTGTGTCCTGAAATGTTTCGTTTCGGAGATACACAGTGGAGAAGTTTCATTTTTAGATTTTGCAAATAATTCCTGTTAGTTCAGGAATTCGTCGATATTTGTATGAAAATGGCGTTTTTTGACATGAGAAATTTGATTTTGATGTCAACCAAAGAATATACCTAGCTAGAAAAAGAATGGACTCTGCCATACTGAAAAATGGTCCTAACAGAAGTGGCGCCATCTATTGAGTAGGGCTTGTTTTAAATGGATCGAAGCGCGGGCTTTTTAAATGAGCGTATTTATTGAATTTTACTCTAAAATAATTAAATTTGATTATTAAATCTTATTTTTACACAAATTCAACAATACTAATAAAAAGTATCGTTGTGATGTGTAAAAAATAACATTTAAGAGTATAATTTATACAATTATTAAATAAAATTAAAGCCAAACATGTGAAATATTATTTATTATTTAAAAGTCAAATATTTAAACATCGTTTATTATAATAAAACAAGACCAACGTAATACGCCCAAAGTTTTGTAAATGAAATAAATATAAATAGGTACTTAAATGATGGCAAAAATAAAAGACTTACATTATATTTTTAGGGCCACAAACAAAAGGAATTGTCTAGTTAAAACACATATAACAAATTATAGTTTGAAAAACATTTTGATAATCATTCATTTGATAATATTATGATTGGCGCTATGACAACGACAATATTTTTTGAGAATTTGACAATAATATGACAATGGCCGTTGGAAATTATGGAAACTACAAAAAAATTCTGATTTAACGCCATCTGGCAATAACTAGTAGCAACTTCTTAACCTAAAAATTAATTGCACTACCACCTAGTGGCTAGGGCTGGAACTATTTTATTAGAGATTTCCTTGGAAACGGTGGAACCGCTTTTGCCATGTCACTTTCCCGCCCCTGATGTCAACATGACTTTTACTTTTAAGGGACACCACCTACATGTTTTATAACTGTTTCGAAGAGTAATAAATTATCTCCCATACCTGTATTAAATTTACTGAGTGAAAAAATACACATTTCCGCCATTTTTTTTACGGAAAAAAGATCTGTTGGTAAAAATCCCTACCAGCAACCATTCTCAAGATATTTGGAATGGAAATTATCAATACATCGTCAGTGAAACGTGATAACCTGCTAACTCCATTTTTTACGTTAATAAGTTTTTTTATACCATTAGAAAGAGAAAAAAATACTCTATAAGTAGGGAAAGCAAACACATTTTTTCCCACTAAAGAAAATTTTTTATTTTAACTCAATAATATCTGCTAACTCCTAGTGATCTGAAATAGTGAATACAATACGCCGATCCAGGGTCGCACTAGGCCAAAGGTGTGTAAAGTGGCCAAAGGGTGGCAATGTAAGGAGGGGCCCGTGTGTTTTTTTTTGCGTATTTTTTTGCCTTACGTTTTGGTCAATTTTTCCCTATTATATACAGGGTGAGTCTTAAATAAGTGCAAATATTTTTAGGGTAGTGTATTTCGACTCAAGAAACACGATTATTTAGATTAGTAGTAGATTAAATTTACAAGAAAGAAAATTCAATGATTCTCAAAATTATAGCAAAAAATTGGAAATTTTAAAAGTGAAATAACTCGATTGTTTTGGATTTATTTGAAAAAACGGTAAAGAGAACATATTATGTTTATTTTATCGAGGTTTACCAGCCCTGAACATATTTGCACTTATTTAAGACTCACCCTGTATAGAAATCAGCGAGGAAATCAGAGAACTACCCTAATGCAAGGTAAACCAATGCAATGCAAAAGCAAATATTGTTAAAAATAAATAATAAACTATAAAGGGGGCCCGCGAAGGCTGGCCCCCCCCCTAATAGTTATCTATATAATATGGCCAGTCTGACCCTGCGTCGATCCGTTCTGTAAATACGGGGTATCCGTAAGGGTAAGGGGAAAAACGAGATTCTCTATATACGAGCAATTCATCGGCGTGCTATAAATAGTTTAAATAACATTACTTACTTGTACAAGAATTTCCATAATACCTAATCACTTTTCTTTTCAACGTTTTTTCACGTAAATGATACATCATTTTTATAAAAATTAAAAAAATAAGGAGAAAAGTAATAAAAATTTAATAAAATCACGCACTCGTCTTCCAAGCGGTCTAGTACTGTCACAAATTACCTATAACAGATGCGAAAGAAAGCGACTGCATCGGAAACCGCTCGGCAAACCCCACACGCCTATTGAGTGGTGTAAATACACCAGTCGTTTAGTCCGGAAACCTATGCTGTGTCGTATTCGCTTGCTGGAATGACATAGTGCGTGGTTATATGTCTCTTTTTAAAAACGGGTGTAGGATTTTTGTTGAACTTTTGAACTGTTATTTCTAAGTTTTGGTAATTTGTATATCTTATTTAAAATGGGATACAAATGTGTTTATTTATAAGGAAAAAAAAGATATTTATAGTATAAAAAATTAATTTATTTAACAAAATTTAATTAAAAATGTGACAAAATAGTACCTTTCTATTGGTTCTATCGGACTTTTTCGACTATATAAATCTTTATTTGTAAACTTTAATACATCAAATATTTTCAATCTAATAAATCATTTAATGATGTAAATAAGAGGAAATTTCTCACATGGGTGGTCAAATTTTATAGTTTTCATTATATCAAACAGCCTCTGAGAAATGTTTTCAACTCAAAATGCCTTTAATTATGTTTGACTACATCATTAAAAAGGGTCTTCAAATACATCAATGTGATATTTGTCTAAAATTTGCAAAAGAATCCGAATCTCTGGATAACTCGAAATTATTTACCCATTTAAAAGCCTTTGATCATGAAAGTGGAAAAATTTGTTCATTTTATTTACAGGCTGGAAAAATTATTTATATTAAATTTTGATGAGTTTTGCACTGAAGAAAACATTCAGAGGCTGTTTGATATAATGAAAACTATAGAATTTGACCACCCATGTGAGAAATTTCCTCTTATTTACATCATTAAATTATTTATTAGATTGAAAATATTTTATGCATTAAAGTTTACAAAAAATAAAGATTTATATAGTCGAAAAAAGTCGATAGAACCAATAGAAAAGTAACTATTTGGTCACATCTTTAATTAAATTTTGTTAAATAAATTAATTTTTATACTATAAATATCTTTTTTTTTTCCTAATCTCCTACGAACTGATATAATATGACGAGCAATCTATTAAATTACTGTGAGATTATATGCCTCGATAACATATTGGTGCAGATTATTTTCACCCAAACAAATAATAACCCAAACTATACATTGATGCGGATTGTCTATGAACTCTTTCTGAAGGTCACAGAAACCTGAACGCGTAATTCGGTGTTCTTTCGCATCTGTTATAGGTAATTTGTGGTACTGTCGTATAAAAATTAGGATAAGCATGGAAGGATTCTACCATATCTTATTATTAAGAATTATAAGTTTAATTTTTAAATTATTTTCATATTCATTCAGTCCAAAATTCTACTACTTCAGTTCATTAAAAATGCAAAACATTTTAAAATTTTCATTAAAAATTTATTCGTTTTTGGACTTGTATGTTTTGCTTCTAGACCGACGATATTATAAATATTATATGGTTATGAATATCATATTTTTTAAATTTAATTGATTATTTCTAAATCTGTTTTGGTAATATACATTTCTATTTTCAAAATTTCAAACAATAAAGGTTGCTATCTCCAGAAGCATATTTTTATTTTTTATTTCTGCAAGACGAATATTTGCTATCTCCCTATTGTGTCTGAAAAAAAAGACGTAACACGAAATATTGAGTTTTATTGTTCCCCATCATATACAATTCTTATCTCTTTATCATACTGTCAAGGTGTATTACTGGTTGCATAACTGCATACTGCTAAATAATCGCAACGTGCATTGAGGAACCTGGCGCATTCGCCAGAAAGTAAAAGAGAATTATAGAATTCTTTAGAAAATTCCAGAAACCATCGCCAGGGGGTATATAAGGCCCGCGCTTTGACAGTTGGACAAGTCTGAAGTCTGAAGAAAGTCTGAAGTCTGAAGATAGTCTGAAGTCTGAAGTTTGAAAATACCGCGAAATACCGTTAGAGTAATAGTAGTTGCATAAGTTGTGTTGTAAATAGTATAAGTTGTGTGTACAGAGTGAGACAAATAAATTCGTTAAGTATTTTATCGTGAGTTTAAATAGTGGACCCACGGAATCCGTAACAATACTAACGCATCAAAATACTTCCTATATGTGTACATATTTTTTTGTACCTTTTTTTTGCTCTCCGGTAAAATTAGAAATAATGGAGTTAGCAGTTTATCACGTTTCACCGACGACATGACATTTTGACACAAAAATTAACACGTTGGCTATTTAGTTATTTGACTGAAATGACAAATTTGGTATTTTTTTATTTTTTTTTATCTAGAAAATTTTCTTATCTATAAAAAATTATGATATAACAGTTTCTGTTAAAATATAATAATACAGGGTGGCGCACCTCATTCGCTTCTGTTGATTATACGAAAACGGAAAGATGTAGAAACAAAATATTTTATGGGTATATGTGGGGAGGCTATGTGGGGCACAATTTAAAATTATTTTCAAGTATACAAGGTGTTTCAGAACTAAGATCCATACCAATGTTATATTTTTTCTTATGGAACACCCCGTATTTTACTTCGTTTTTGTATTTTTGGGCCCCAAAAAAGGCATTTATTATAAGGGTTAAATATGTTTAAAATCTTTAGTTTTTGAGATATTTAAAGATATTTAAATTTGCATGCTACTTTAGAATAGGTTATTAAGGCCGTCTACATTACTTTTCAGAATTAATTCTTGTGCTGAGTTTGAAGGTAGAGAAATGTACTTTAC